AGTCTGCCTCCCCAAGAAAATCAAACTGGCAACAAACATATAGCTGTTGGTGTTAGAGGGGGGGCTAATGTCCCTCCTACCCAGCAAGTAAGACGGGCTGTAGATCCCTATGGGTTGGTGACCACTGGGACAGGTAGGGAGCGGAGATTACCCGTCGTCCCATCTGCGTCCAGGCGGCCGCCAACCTGGCGTGAGGCTTGTGTGGCAAAGCCTTGGCACCCTTCAGGTGGATTATGAGACCTCAGCCTGGGGCGGTGTTGGTTGGGGTGGCAAATGTGGCGCCCACCTGCAGTGACTGCCTGAGGTTAGATTGGGGTATTTGGAACGTCCATTCCTTGCGACAGGATGATCGGTTTCCACTACTATTGAGGGAATTGAAGCAGATGAGCGTTGAGGTGGTTGCTATCTCGGAGGTGAGAAGACCTGGCTGCGGCATGATTAGTGTGGGTGGCTACATTTATTACTGGTCCTGGCTCAGTTATGGCCACCATCTCCAGGGAGTAGCCATAGCCATCTCCAGCAGACTTCAACCCTCGGTAGAAGCGATCACTCCAGTCGATGAGCGTATAATGGTATTGAGACTGAAGCTTTCATTTGGATTCATGTCTCTTATTGCCGTGTACACTCCTACGGATGTGTATAAATTCAAGGTAAAAGTTGCATCTATGACAGACAACTGTCCTCTATGAGATATTCTTATTTTTCTAGGTGTCTTCAGTGTGGTATCTGGCTACGAGATGTCTGTTGGCCCTCATGTCTAAGAGCTGATGCTGGAAGTGTGAATAGCCAGTAATTGAGGATTTCTGGCTCCTGGTATCTGCATTCTGACTTGGTACAGCGATACGGGCAATGTGGCCAAGGAGATCGACCACATCCTCTTTAGCATTCAATGGAGGATTCTCCAGAACTGCAAGGTGTGTTGGAGCGCCGAGTTCTGTGGAACTGATCATAGATTAGTTGTGGCTACTCTCTGAGTCCACTTTAGAACTCCCTGTTGCTCCAATGAACACCTTAGGATGCTTCATGTGGACAGACTGAGGGAGGATGAATGTGCCTGGGGGTTTGCCGAGGCTATCTCTGGTCGTTTCACAGCAATCGAGGCCCTGACTGACTCTGTTCTTCTGTGGAACACCTTCAAGTGTGAAATGCTTGATGCAGCCCAAGAATCGATTGGTGAACGCCCAAGAGCAAGACAGAATTTCATCTCACAGGAGACACTGGAAGCCACAGATACTTACCGTGCAGCTCAATTGTCAGTGGATCACAACTTGCACCGTTCCCTGGTGGGACTAAGTCACTGCTGAGAAGGGATAAGGAACAGTTTATCAGGAATCTTGCAGAGGAGGTCGGAAGCCATTACTTTGTAAATGATCTTCGTCCTGCCTACCAAGCCCTGAGAAAGCTGAACTCCAAGCCCTCTTCATAGATGACTGCAGTCCGCTCAGCAAGTGGCCAGATAATCTCAGATCCTGATGGGGTGTGGGTGCGTTGGGCTGAGTATTTTGATCAGTTGTATGAGGTTGATCCACCAACAATTAACTTGGGCATGGGTAATGAGATTCCTCTGCCAGACCCACCCATCAGCATGGAGCCACCCTCCCTGACTGAAGTCAGGGGGGCGATTTCCAAGCTGAAGAGTGGTAAAGCAGCAGATGTTTGCAGCATCCCAGCTGAACTGTTCAAGGCTGGTGGAAAACCTATGGCAAGGGTCTTGCATGCTGTCCTGTCTGTCATCTGGCAGACTGGTACCATTCCTCCTGACCTTCTGAAGGGTGTGGCCATCCCTCTCTGGAAGGGGAAAGGGGATCAGAGCACTCTGAAGCAATCACCGAGGTATTACACTACTCGGTATACCAAACAAGGTACTCACGTCCCACTGAGATGTATTAGAGACCACCTGTTGAGGCACCAGAGGCCGGAGTAAACTGGATTCACTCCTGGTAAGTCCACAATAGACCGTATCCTGGTGCTTTGTGTCATTGTAAAGCGCCGTCATGCGTTCGGACGTGCTGCTTGCAGCTTATATCGACCTCAAGGTGTTTGATACCATGCATCGCAAATTACTCTGGGAGATCCTGAGACAAAGAGGAATTCCAACAAGGATTATTGGACTAATAGCAAACCTGTATACAGGCACTGAAAATTCTGTAAAGTGGTGGGGGCCTGTCAAACTTCTTCCCTGTTAGTTCAGTTGTGAGGTAAGACTGTGTTCTTGCACCAACTTTTCAACACTTGCATCTCTGGAAAACCCTAGTGCTGGCTCTTGATGCATTTAGCAGTGAAGCGAAGCCTCTGAGGCTAGAGGTCTCCTGGACCAAGACCAAGATCCAGGGTTTTGTGGGCCTACTAGACACTGTGCAGTCGGTACGTGCTTGCGGTGAAAACATCGAGGTCACAGCTTTATATAACTGTAGTACAGTTCATGACTCTGGGCTGTCAGACCAGGAAGTCAGTAGATGTGTTGGCCTGGCAGCAGGGGTCATGAAATCTCTCAACAGGAGTATTTGGAGATGCCGATACCTATACAGAAGTACCAAGCTACGTGTCTTCAAGGCCCTGATACTGCCAGTGTTACTATATGGTAGTGAAACCTGACGTTATCTTGTGCTTTGGAATCTCGTCTTGATGCCTTTTGTAACAGATCCTTGTGCCGGATCATGGGGTACAGTTGGCGGGACCATGTGTCCAACCAACGGTTGCACCGTGAGACCGGTACAGGACCTGTTACTTGCACAATCCGCGATCGCCAACTCTGGCTATATAGCCACTTGGCTCGATTCCCGCAGGATGACACTGCCCAAAGGGTTGTCTCTGTTCAAGATAACCCTGGGTAGAGGAAGCCGTGGCTTGGGCAGATCGATCAAACCTGTCGTGAGGAGCTAGAGATGGGCCGGGCCCCTGCCTGGCGGCTCGCCTTGAAGGACCCTCGTAGGTGGAAGCGAAGGGTGGATGCGGCTATGCATTTCAGAATGATTGTCCTTGTGCTCTCTTATTTTAAATTGATTTTGGCCTGCACTCTCTTATTTCAGAATGACATTGGCCCTGCACTCTCTTATTTCAGAATGGCTTTGGCCCTGCACTCTCTTATTTCAGAATGGCTTTGGCCCTGCACTCTCTTATTTCTGAATGACATTGGCCCTGCACTCTCTTATTTCAGAATGACATTGGTCCTGCGCTCATTTTTTTCAGAATGACTTGGACCCAGTGCTTCCTTATTTCAGAATGACTTTGGCCCTAAGCTGTCTTATTTCAGAATAACTTTGGCCTTAAGCTGTCTTATTTCAGAATGACATTGGTCCTGCGCTCTCTTATTTCAGAATGACTTTGGCCCTAAGCTGTCTTATTTCAGAATGACTTTGGCCTTAAGCTGTCTTATTTCAGAATGACATTGGTCCTGCGCTCTCTTATTTCAGAATGACTTTGGCCCTGCACTCTCTTATTTCAGAATGACTTTGGCCCTAAGCTGTCTTATTTCAGAATGACATTGGTCCTGCGCTCTCTTATTTCAGAATGACTTTGGCCCTGCACTCTCTTATTTCAGAATGACATTGGTCCTGCGCTCTCTTATTTCAGAATGACTTTGGCCCTGCGCTCTCTTATTTCAGAATGACTTTGGCCCTGCACTCTCTTATTACAGAATGACTTTGGCCCTGCACTCTCTTATTTCAGAATGACTTTGGCCCTGCACTCTCTTATTTCAGAATGACATTGGTCCTGCATTCTCTTATTTCAGAATGATATTGGTCCTGCGCTCTCTTATTTCAGAATGAGATCGGTCCTGCGCTCTCTTATTTCAGAATGACTTTGACCCTGCGCTCTCTTATTTCAGAATGACTTTGGCCCTGCACTCTCTTATTTCAGAATGACTTTGGCCCTAAGGTGTCTTATTTCAGAATGACATTGGTCCTGTGCTCTCTTACTCAGAATGGCTTTGGCCCTGCACTCTCTTATTTCAGAATGGCTTTGACCCTGCACTCTCTTATTTCGGAATGACTTTGGCCCTAAGCTGTCTTATTTCAGAATGACATTGGTCCTGCGTTCTCTTATTTCAGAATAACATTGGTCCTGCGCTCTCTTATTTCAGAATGACTTTGGCCCTGCACTCTCTTATTTCAGAATGACTTTGGCCCTAAGCTGTCTTATTTCAGAATGACATTGGTCCTGCGTTCTCTTATTTTAGAATAACATTGGTCCTGCGCTCTCTTATTTCAGAATGACTTTGGCCCTGCACTCTCTTATTTCAGAATGACTTTGGCCCTAAGCTGTCTTATTTCAGAATGACATTGGTCCTGCGTTCTCTTATTTCAGAATGACTTTGGCCCTGCACTCTCTTATTTCAGAATGACTTTGGCCCTAAGCTGTCTTATTTCAGAATAACATTGGTCCTGCGCTCTCTTATTTCAGAATGACTTTGACCCTGCGCTCTCTTATTTCAGAATGACTTTGGCCCAGCTCTCTTATTTCAGAGTGATTTTGGCCTGGCGCTTGTTTGATTTTGCTGCACTCTCTTTGCAGATTAGTTTTGTTTTCATTCTCTCTTCCTCGAATTAGTTTTGGCCCGGCGCTCTGTTCTTTCAAATTTCCGGTTATTTACTATGCATTTGGATTTTCAACCATTTAGAAATAACACCTTTTCCCTCTTTCTCACCTCCGTTTCTCTTCGTTCCTTTTGAGAAAAAGAGAAATGAATCCCCAAGTCAAGTACGACCCTTCGGCCTCGCATTTAATCTTGATTTCCATTCCCTCCTCCCCCCCCCCCCCCTCAGACGGTCCTCATCCACTACCCGACGGGACGCCTGTTCGTCCAGCCATACCCCAGAATACCCGGCTACATCCTCGACAAAGAGCGATCCACCATCCAGGTCAAGTTGTACCTCAAGAAGTCCCACTGCAAGGTCATGAAGACGGGGAAGGAGCTCTGCATCAAGTCCCACTACTACGACGTGGAGGACTCTTGCACGGAGTACCTCTGCTTCGGGTTCCTCTCGGTGTGGACTTAG